CACCCCCAACGATAGTGAAAAAAAATACGTACCTCAACCTGGTAAGTACAAGCACAGCTGGAGTGTTATTAGTCCTGAATGATGCTCTCGGTCCCAAGATGGCGGGATCCGACCAATGTGACGTCACGCCTTCTCGTGTATCCAAACTGTAACAAATTTAAAAAAAAATATTTCAAATAGCACGATCAAGGCCAAGGGTTCCCAATCTTTTTGTGCTGTAAAGCAGATCCTAAAATATCGCTCGGTAGAAATCACAAATCGTTCTAATATTGTATGAGAAAGTATGAATGTATGGATAAGTAGATATTTATTACAAAACATTTACAGCACGATTGCATAGATATGTATGGAATTTAGTATAGATGTTTGTCACACATATATTTTTTACAAAGCATGGACGAAGTCGTGTGAAAACTATTATTGCAAAATATACTTATATTTGCGTGTAGGTAACGAATGTTTAGGTTTATAGAAGACCTCGCATAGTAGTACCAACCCCTTAAGTAAATGCGTGTCAAAAGTTAAAGTAAGACTGCTCACCCATTAAGCTAACAGTTGAACGAAATAATCCATTTCAACGTAGCTTAAAGCTAACTTGTAAGCACTAAGCTACGCTTAAGCGGCAACTCACGTGCAAAGTTCCTTATAACGGAAAAACTAGTATAATATTTTAAGCCGGTAACTTCCATTGTGAAACTTTCAAGGCTAACTCGCTTCAGGGAAAATGTAATATGAAAATTGTGCGGTATTTTTTATGACTGCTCTTTTTGTATTATGTTGAAAATATGTCTTCATTTTTATATCTTCATTTAATACTCAAAACCGAGTATGTTTTTATATAATACTAGCTTTCGCCCGCGACTCCATCCGCGTGGTATTAATAAAAACAAAAGAAAGTAGCCTATACGTTCTTCTAGACTATCCTCTACATCTTTGCCAAATTTCATCCAGATCCGTTCAGCCGTTTAGGCTACAAACTCTAACAAACATCCATCCATCTAAACTTTCACATTTATAATATTAGCATGAAGATGTGTTTTGTATGATGAAAGAAAACACTATCTCGTGTAAAAATGTGTTCAAAATCTATACCTTCTCAAAAATTACTAGACAACGTAAAATTAGAATACTACATAATCACTGAGTAACATAGGTTATATTTAATATTTATCCTTAGTGTTACTTACGAGTATATAGGAGATTCGTGTCCCTGCTTGTACCAGATGACCAATCCGACTCGGTCTTCAGGCTGGGCTGGCCGCACGTCACAAGGTAGTTCAACAGTCCCGCCGGTAGGCGCGTGTAGTGATTCAACTTCCACTATAAAAAAACAATAATAAATTTAATAATCTGTGACAGTTTTGGTGTGAATTCGAATCTACGTACAGACTAGTTTTATCTAGGAATATTTTATTAAGACGCCTAATAAGTATGGACATGTGGAGGTGCGCATATTACTTCCGTTTTGTATGATTTTATTTAGACTCAGACCAGACCAGATTATCGGTCAATAAGTCTGTAGTTTATTAGGGCCCTTAGTCTATAAAATTCAATGAAACAGATATATTCTAAACGAGTACAGCGTTATCTATTTGTTTACATTTGTTAAATTCTTAATTACAAATTTCAAAATGACCGTTACGATAATAACCTTGCTTCCTCAATGTTTGCAAGTTCACCTAAAGTTATTTTTCCAATTTATTTACCTCCTAAGTTTAATGGCGTGATAATACATAGCCTAAAGCGTGAAGAAAGTGCAGTTCTTTTTATTAAAGAAAGAATTATTCAAAAATATGCTGTGATTGCTGACATCCTACGCCACGAAATAGTGCATGTTTACGCTTTATTATATTAGTATAGCAGTATACATTTACTTAAATAATTTCAATTTTTTTTTTATAAAAAAAATACTAACAAAGTCTTTAATATAGATGTTTAGCGTTTGAATATGGTAGGATATTTACATACGTCGATATTGTCTCAAACGGAAGCAAATGTGTGTTGACAAAATACAATAAGGGAGGGACAAAGCAGTCACTGAGGCATTACAAGCAATGTAGACAAGGTTATGTGGCACAGTATTGGCAATTAGACTGACCTTTGTATGAAGGTAATACATACATCAGTTAACGTTGATTTCCACTGGAAATACAAAAGAACATGTATCTTGAAAAGACAGAGATTGTTGATAAGGTAACTGAGGTTACACGGAATGGTAACGGATATATTCTACAACTGACTTTTCTCGTGAGGCTTCATCCGCGTGAAATTATAAAAAACCATGTTATTTTCTACATCTGTGAATTTTTCAATTGCAAATGTCAAAATTCATATATACAATTGACCATAGCAATCTTGTTTCCTTGATGTTGACAGCTTGTTGTTTATGGCCCTTTCGCACATGAAAGAACAGTTTGACAGAAAAAAAATCACAGGTAAATTTTAAATTATTTCTACTTTTTTATCCAAAAGTGTGAAGATAATCAATTTTTTTTGTTTTAAAATAAAATATAAATAAATAACTTCAGTTTCTGGTTAAAAGTAATCGATGATAATAGATGGCGCTGTATTCTTTTTATTTATTATTTTAGTAAATAAACTTATTGTAAAACGGCAGTATAAATTAAGTAAATATAACTGGCCTTATAGACATTTTTACGGAAGAAAGAAAGAAAAAATGAAGTGTATTTTTAAAAAGAAAAAATGTCAAGATGAAGAAATATAAAGTATGCGTAGAAATTTTATGTTGTAAAAGTGATTTAAGCAAGAATAAAGAACGAGATTTATCAAAAGCCATACTGTTATTTTATTAATTAAACAGTTTCAGCAATTAACAAATTAATCTATCCTATTATAATAAAGCGTAAACACACACTTCTTCGTTGCCTAAGATGTCAGCAATTACACCATATTTTTGAATAATCCTTTTTTTAATAAAAAGCCCTGCACTTACGTCACGCTTTAGGCTTTATATATTAACGCCATTAAACTTAGGGGTTAATATTTTGGAAAAAACACCCTGTGGGAAAGAGACCATAAGTTGCTGCCAACATCAAGGAAGCAAGGTTGTCATCGTGTCATGTTATTTTGACATTTGCAATTGACACATGTAATAAGATTTTCATAATTTTATGCGGATGAAGTCGCACGGGAACAGCTAGTGTACATATAAAATGGTTATTCGATATTTTATTTAAGGGATTGAGATTTCCACCTACAACTTAATATTCACTTCATCTCGAGGAAATTCTACTCGAAAATTTAACGTCGACTTTCTCCTAAATGTAGGTCAATACTTTTTAGTGGATTCTAAATATGAAGAACGATTTTATTCGACTGAATTCAAAGCCAAGGAAAATCGTTAGTAAATCTTGGTATTCGTTTCAACGAATTTGAATATATGTTTTTCATAAAATTATTTATAGTGTGTCTAAATAAATTAGATTAGTTTGACAATTCACTTCAAATTTAGTAGGGATGGTTGTGTAAAATCAGTCATGAATCTCATCGATTTTAGATTTTTATTCTTATAGAAGTTGGAATCGATATATTCATAGTTATAACTTATGAATTGAAAAAAAAACTGTTTTCTCAAATTAATAATGACCATAACAAATAGTGATATTAAATAAATGTGTATTACTACTACAGCCGTACGTAATCGAATTGGATTTCGTTATTATTTGTGTCATCGCTAAATTCTCTACACTAGAATTGTCCTCTAAATTAGTTACTAAGAAAGTAATAATTTTAGTTCAGTTCGATAATTATTTAAACCGAATATCGATAGTTCATAATAGTTCTCTGGGTGTTTGTTTCGTCACTACGATACCTGTCCATTAAGTACTGCATTTGCCTTCATTCAAATTGAATTCGATACTTCATATGCGTCATTTATCAAACTAATCTATCTTATTTAGGCAAGCTATAGTATTGTAGAATGAATTTTTGAAATCTACTCATTAGTTTCTGAGTAACATCGACATATACAAAAATTAAAATATAGAAGTCTCTCTTTACAATATTAAGTATAGATTTATAAATATCACGTAAGCTTGGATGGATTAGGTATGTATGTGAAAGGCAAAATGTAAGACCGAAATTGAAATCGTAAATCTGTCTACTTCATGTTTACAGGCGTTGTTTTATTTAAGACTTAACTACGATAAACATGCAAAAAGACACGAGAAACTCTAAAAGCGTCGCCGAGCCCATTTTAAGGGATGTTTGTAGAGTCATTAAAAGTAGGGAAAACATCGCAACTACAACACGAGTCGACCCTTTGAAAAGTTCTTAATTAATCGCAACCAAACATTTTTGGTTTGCAATTTTGAAAAGTTAAAATACACGAGTTTAAATACGAAATATGTGACGTTTTTAAAATTTTTCTCTTGTTAAATACACATTCACTGTTCTTGTAAATTTTCATGATCTTCCATATTATTGAAATAGTCGAAAAGGATGACGTGAGACCCTAGCATGATAATTTACGAGAACGTATATTACGGGCGTAAAAAACAAATCTTATAGAAATTTTATCGATGACGTCACTAATACTATCCCGCAAATTTTCATGCTAATTCTGAACTTTAATCGTCACTAAAACAATACTGAGTAATTTATGGAATAACTATTGGGCCGGAAGAAGGCTGAATAAAAAGCATACAAAAATAATCATTATTCAAAAGTTTAGTATTCTTTTGTTTTCAATTTTGTTTCAAATTTAACAGTGGTAGTGCCCGCTTTAACATCTTAGCACGAATGGGCCGGCACGCCCGGTGTAATACCACGACCATACCGAAGACAGGCGTGAAATGGAAGCAATTCCGTGTTTCGTCTGATGAGCGTAGCCGGAGGCTTAATTTAAGTCCCTTTCTCTTTACCACCCTTTTCTTATGAGAGGATGGGAAGTGGAATTGACGGTGGAGAAGAAGCATAGGAAGGGGAAATATCCTCTTTCTGTACGTCTCCTCCTCTGTCGGGTAAGGGTAGGCAACGCATCTGCAATTGCGGATGTCTATGGGTAGCGGTCGCTTCGCCTTTTGGCGGATTCAGGTGGCCGCCGCTCGTTTGCCACCTTATGTTATATAAAAAAAAAATGTTTTTGAAAAACGGGCTCACACCATAGACACAACCGTTGTGAGATTGTCGATTGTTTGACAGGCAATTCAACTGTTTAATTGCATGACTAAGAATCTAGTAGTGTGCCCACCATTCAAGCAATCAAAGTGAGACCAAACGGTTGTGCGATAGTTTAGTCAAAGGCGTGCGCAGCCTCTAAAAAATTTACAATGTTTCCAATGACGTGAACATTGATACAAAGATTCTCACATTATTTCGCAGTATTTCTATATTTAGTTTATCCCAAGTAAGGAACGGCCTATTTTTTATGACAGCCGGATTGACGGGCGGACAGTAGATACGAAAGTAAAGAAAGTTTCTCAGTAGCCGACCATTTGATGTTTCCTTTGTTCTGAATGTAAGCAAGTTAATGAGATGGGTCGACTCTTGGAGTAACTTGACGTTTACATCAACATTTTCTTAATATACATTGTTAAATGAATTTTTAACATCAAAAGAATTCATTTTCAAGAAAATTAAAACGAAAAAAATAACAGTGCGTTAAGTTTTTCTAACTATGTTTCGCCCGCGACTTTTTCCGCGTGGAATTCACTTTTGTTATAAAAAATTGGTGTTCTTCGTGACTATCTTCTATATCTATATAGATGGTTTCTAACTGCTAATACTAGTGATTTATACTAATACTAGCTTTCGCCCCCGACTCCGTCCGCGTGAGTTTAAAAAAAAACAAAAGCGATAAGCCTGTGTTCTTCCAGACTATCATCTACATCTATACCAAATTCCATCGAAAGCTGTTCAGCGGTTTAGACTACAAATTCTAAAAAATCATCCATCTAAACTTTCGCATTTACAATATTAGTATGATTTACTAGAATACTAGTACTACTACTAATACTAGTAGTACTGCTAAAAAGCAGTTAGAAAATATCTATGACCACTTCAATACATTTTCTACATGCTCCCATCTATGGCCAACTAATCCGCAAAAGAAACTTCATTCAAAGACAACTAGGTCGATCTGTCTGAGAAATAAATATTTTCTAAAGCTCTTGAGATCAGTATGGTCTATTTAGCAATAACAGCAATCTATAACTGTTACCAATTTAACAACAATAATTATTTTTACAAACATATACATCGTTTTTAACTGTCTTCGCTCGTTTATTTTATTTAATCTGTCTATACTAATATTATAAAGAGGAAATTTTGTATTTTTGTATGTATTGAAATAACTCAATTCACTCACTCACCATTAAAACGCTACGTTATCAGTGAGTAACAGGCTATATTTTTTTATTCTTTTCTTAATTTTATGCCGCCGAAATTGCGAGCAACAGGTAGTTACTAGTATTATAAAGAAGAAAGTTTTATATTTTTTACGTAACTTAAAAACTACTAGGCCGATTTAAAAAATTCTTACACCATTAAAAAGCTACGTTATCGCTGAGTAACATAGGCGTATTTTTTTACAATTTCGAATTTGACATAGAGGAAGTCGCGAGCAACAGCTAGCCTTTGATAAGTTTTTGTTATGTTTATAAATTAACGTTTGCTGTTAGTTTTACAAATATTATAAATGCGAAAGTTTAGATAGATGGATGTTTGTTTAGAGTTTGTAGCCTAAACCACTCAACGGATCTCGATGAAATTTGGTAAAGGATAGTCTGGAAGAACACATAGGCTACTACTTTTGTTTTTTTTAGTTCCACACGGAGTCGCAGGCGAAAGCTATAAGTCAGCTAGTAAGTCTATAAAGGCAATTTGACAAACTATAGCATCTATTTGCTGTCACATTTTGATGGCAAACTAATTGTGTGGCGCTCGACTGGCACAATGATTGACGAAAATTAATACAATTGTACGTTCGTTCATCATTCAAAGTTTGAAACGTGAAGATTGTCGGTGCCAATTATCTGTCGGTGCATGTCGTTCGTTAGAGCAACGATAATTGCTAAGGCTTTAAAGACTGGATTGTCCAGGATTTGAGTTCGAATTTTTTTTTGGTTACAAAACAAAAATGTTTTTAAATGTATAATCAAGTTGACTTCCATGTCAATAGTAAATTGCTGGGCTTTCAGAAAAATATGTCCTAAGGTTTGGAAATATCTGGAGATAGGTATTTCTAACAGAATTTTCCCAGGAAAATCGTTATACGAAAATTTACCGGTTGCATTTAACCTTATTTGATGCAATCTAACAGGAATTTTAACTCAAATCCTTCAAATAAACGAGATAAGTATCTTTTTATTACATTTATAATTTTAAATCTGTTAAAGTGTCTACAAGACTTGTATTATTGTAATCAATAAATTCTAAAACTACTGCACATTATCGCTCATAAACATAATCTATACTTTAACATTAAGTTATTATTGTCTACCTTTCGCCTGCGACTGCGTCCGCGTGAAATATAAAAGTAGCCTTCTTAAAGTAGTGTTCTTTCAGACTCTTCTTTACATATCAGCTGTTTAGGCTACAAACTCTTACAAACATCAATCCACCTACTTTCGCATTTACGATATACTAGCTGTTCCCGTGCGACTTCATCCGCATGAAATTATGAAAATTTTATTTAATTGTTTACATTTGTCAAATTAACAATTACAAATGTCAAAATGACATGACATGATGACAACCTTGCTTCCTTCATGTTGGCAGATATTATTGTCTCTCCCCCACATTTGAGTTTTTATCCAAAATATTTAATCCCTAAGTTTAATGGTGTTAAAATATATGGCCTAAAGCGTGACGCAAGTGTAGTTTTTATTAAAAAAGAATTATTAAAAAATATGCTGTGATTGCTGACATCTTAAGCAACAAAGAAATGTGTGTTTACGCTTTATTATAATAGTATAGATGACCTTTTGCCCGCGACAACGTCCGCGTGGAACTAAAAAACAAAAGCCTATGTATTTAAGAGTATTCTCTACGTCTATGCCAAATTTAATCCGAACAGCTGTTTAGGCTACAAATTCTAACAAATATCACCAATATTAGTAAGAAGATTTAAACATAAATATCTACATGCAAAGCAGAGCCGATATTTAAAGACAAAATTCATACTTCAAAAAATGCATTAGCCAGTAGTCATTTGTTTTCTTATATTTATGGAAGTGACAAATGACGTGTCTTATTCGTAGGTGGTCTGTACAAAGGCCGCCTACATATGGTAAAAGCAGATCCTGTTAAAGTCGGTTGTGGGCGTTGGTAGGATTTTTAATGTCATTTTAATATGGACAACGTACTTGGTAAATTTTGTTTTACCTTGTGTTTGTACAAAAAACCGTTGTTTTAACAAAGATAATAAATACTAGTAAAGTTTCTATTGTGCGCTTAGAAAACAAATTAATCTACTCTTTAAAAAGTATACCGGAGACTGATATATTTTCATCTTTCTAATATTATAAATGCAAAAGTTTAGATGGATGGATGGTTGTTAGTTTGTAGTCTAAACTGCTGAACGGATCTTTATGAAATTTGGCACAGATGTAGAGGATAATCTGAAAGAACACATAAGGTACTTAGTTTTTTAATTCCACGCGGAAGGAGTCGCGGGCGAAAGCTTGTATACATATGAATAAAATTATAAGAGCGGGCTGTGTGTTGTGTGATTGTCGATTGTTTTGCAGCCAATTCAACTGTTTAGTTGCACAACTAAATATCGAGTAATGCGCACCTCCATATAAGCTCATAGTAATCAAAGCGAGACAGTTGTGCGATAGTTTAGTGGAATGTACACACGCTTTAGGAGCATGATTAAAGATCAAATTTCATACATAGTTTAACGTCAAAACATTGTAAGCTTACGAAGTAATAACTTTAAGATTTGTTTGTATTTGGTCTTAGATGTTACTAAAATTTACTTACGCGACTCCTCGATAAGCACCTCTTGTTGACTATCGACATTATAATGTAATAGCATGAAGAGCAGCACTAGTTGCGACCGCGGCACACTCATTATCGACATCGGCACATCACTAGTGTTACGCAAACACAAATCGACACACTATCGAGTTTGTCATCGTCACATGTTTGTACGATAAAATCGTTTCACATCACTAATTTTGTCTCTGCTTTTACCTGTAACAAAATAAATATCCATTAATATTATAAAAAAAAACATAACATTATTTTAGTCTATTTATCGATTGACAAGCAAGAACCAGTATAAACGATTAGTATTCTCGACATACTATATGATCACAAAACATAGATAGCGATGCGAGTAATCGATTCTAAAAAAAAATCGATACGCGACAATCGAGATCTCGATCATGTCATATAAAATTGTATCTAAACATTTCACACGCAACAGTAACATTTTTTAGTTCCCATTCAATAGATTTATTGCATCCAATAAACATTCCTAACGGAATAAGACGATAAGATATTTATTATCGAATACAATGTTTATTATTATTGTTTTTTGTTTAAACTATATAAACAATAACATCTAATAACTATAGTTTATATAAACTGAAATTATTATCTTTGTATGAACATATACAGAGATATTCACAAACAAGAGAGTATTAAGTTTGAATCTTTTT